ATGGCTGCAATATAACAAAGAGTGAAAAATTGAAGGGGGTCTGAATACTTTCCGTACCCACTGTATATATATAGTGCTGTCAAATAATTAATCGCGATTAACCGCATTCAAAATAAAGGTTTTTGATTACAAAGTATGTGTGTGTACTGTGTATATTTTAGGGGTGCTCCGATTGATCGGCTACCGATCACTATCGGCCGATAATCACGTTGGGATGTTTGATCGGCGGTCTCTAAAAAGGCCGCTCTCCAAAAACCGATCTCAAGCTGACTAGGCGCCTGCTGTGAGAGGTTTGGCATGACATGCAGCGGCACCGTCGCAGTCTCTATCCGGCGCGGGTGAAATAATTATAATGCTGAGGGTGAGGTACTCATATTTCTTCTAAATCGTTAAATAACTTATAAAGTAATTTGAAAACCTTGTGTGAGTCGTAATTTCACAAACAGCGTGAGTGAATCACAGCGTGCTCTCTCTCTTTCTCTCTAAAAATACGCAAATGGCTTCAAATCACCACACCTCTGTCTATAAGCCAGCTGCCTGCACGCTGCACAGTTGACACAGGAATTGTCACTGCATTACTTTTTAATTCTTGCCAGTGTTTAACCATTCAGCGCTCGCGCGCTCTCCTGGAGACCGTGCGCTCACGCACACTCGCAGCGCACACACATAACACCAGGTTCACATTACTCCGTTTGCAGTGCATGTGGTGTGTATTTTTTCTGAGCTCATGTTAACGGATTAAGCGTTCACTGCACACGGTTGCGCAGTGCAGAGATCGTTCAGCACCGAGTCTACTGCTGAATTAAAGTAATATATGCATAATAAATATACACAGTACACATTATGTAAACAGAAACTTTTATTTTGGATGCGATTAATAATTTGACAGCACTATATATATATATATATATATATATAAACTAATACAATTGACAAAAAAAATACTAAACATTAAACTAAACACTACACACATTTCATTTATGATTTAAAAAAAAAAGTGAGTGTGTGGTCTGACTTTGTGCTATGCTGTTTGTGTGTCCACTAGGTGGCGGTAATACATTCCGCCTGCTGAAATCTCTCTATGACAGCAAGCTGGTAACTGAGATTAGAAAGAGAGTTTTAGAGGTGAGTTCGTGTCTCTATTAATCAAAGTCTAAAATACAGTGTAATTGCCTGTAACGGGTGTAGTTGTTTCTTTTAGGATGGGATACCTTACATGGGATCAAGTGCAGGTACCAATGTCTCCACCATCAGCATCAACACCACCAATGACATGCCCATCGTCTATCCACCCACATTTGCTGCCATTGGTTTAGTGCCCTTCAACATTAACCCTCACTATCTGGATGCTGATCCCAACAGCAAGCATATGGGGGTACGTTCAAATGATCATGCACAACACCACAACTCCATTAAGTAATATTATATGCGTAAAATCACCCAAAAACATGTATTTTACATAAATTGATTGCCATGGAAAAAAAAAAGAAAAAAAAAAAGAAACTTATCGAATATATCAAATATAATAAACCAAAGTTTTAAGGTAGATCCTTCAGGCTTCATGAACGCAGATTTGATTTTGCATTTTACAGGAAACACGTGAACAGAGAATTGTCCAATACCACGAGGAGCCCGACACACCATGTGTGCTGGTATGTTAACGTACAATACTGTTGGGGTCAGTGAGACAATTTAATGCTCAACAAAGCTGCATTTATTTGATCAATATTACAGTAAAAACAGTAATATACTGAAATGAAAAGAAAGAACCGTTTTCTCTTTGCATATATTTTCAAATGTAATTTCCAGCAGTAGTTGAGCTCTACCACTATATGCTGTTCATGGCAGGGTCTTCGGGAAGGCTCAATGCTCTTAGTGGAGGGAAGCAAAGCCACCTTATTAGGGAGCACCAAAGCACGACTGTTCCAGAGGTTATGCAGAGACTCTTGCTCACGCACATGGAGGTATGTTAACGTACAATACTGTTGGGGTCAGTGAGACAATTTAATGCTCAACAAAGCTGCATTTATTTGATCAATATTACAGTAAAAACAGTAATATACTGAAATGAAAAGAAAGAACCGTTTTCTCTTTGCATATATTTTCAAATGTAATTTCCAGCAGTAGTTGAGCTCTACCACTATATGCTGTTCATGGCAGGGTCTTCGGGAAGGCTCAATGCTCTTAGTGGAGGGAAGCAAAGCCACCTTATTAGGGAGCACCAAAGCACGACTGTTCCAGAGGTAATGCAGAGACTCTTGCTCACGCACATGGAAAATATAACAGAAAAAAATGATCCCAAATAGACAGTGAGACTGTGGATTTCTTTCTCAGGGGGAAGCATACTACGGAGTATGAACCGGGCAGTGATCTCAGCTTCTTACTGACAGATGCACAGTGAGCTGCTACATTATGTGCAATGCAAACATTTTCACAATAAATGATAAAATCCACAATGAAGTTTATGTTTCTTCATTTCCTTCATCATGAGCACAGTTTTGCTTAGAGTACACAAAAACAAAAACTATGGAAGCACTGTAGAATTTAAAGATGATTATTCTTGTATTTAAAGCCTGCAGTTGGTTATTCATCAACCAGACAATTGTTAACAGCTAAACATATCCTGTGAGGTCAAGTTCATCACTGTAGATTAGAAAATGGTGTTATGATAACAGAACCTTTGGACAGCAAAAATAGGTACTAAATTCAAGTCCAGCTATATTCATAAATAGGATCAACTACCAAAAGAAAAACAAAAAATAAATGCAACTACATCAGTATATTTGTTTATTGAATTACAGAAGCATTAACAACATATTGCTAAACAAAATCGTGGGGAAAAAAGAAAAGGAAAGTCAAAAATAAAGTCAAGAGACCGTGATAATTTTTAAACATGGTAGATTCTCAAAAATACATATTTTTGTTGCTATAATTGTGTTCTATTATTATTATTTATTTTATTTTTTTTACAAACTTTACAAACAAATGAGAATATATTCGGGATCATTTTATTTGTGGAAAATGCATAATTTTGATTGAATTATAAATGCATACAATTTTTCATTTAGACAACATACTTATGGCAACCCAATATGGGTAAATTCATATGGGCAGCAGCATTACTATAATACAGTAACAAGAAATCCAGTTTTTTTTTTCAGTGTTATGGGTTATGTATTTCAGTATATCTGAAGTCAAAATTAAGACCAGTAACTATGAACCACAACCTTTAATTAATTGAATTGAATCATTAATTAAATAACCGTTTTCAGTATAACAAAACAATTTAAAAAAGGCCAATATTGTTAAGGATTCCAGCCTCAGTTTTCTAAATTTAGATGTTTTTCCATACCATCAAACTGTTATTTGTATCAATTTATATTAATCAGGATACATCACACTAAATGGATTTTTTCTATTCTAATCAACATGCATTTGGGTAAAATAGATCTTTAAAAAACAGACTAGTGTTTCATCTATAAAAATACTTTTGACCAAGAGGAATATTAAAACTAAAGGTGAGTTAAAACATTATAATAAAGGTGCTCTGTCCATAAGGGGTAGTTTTCAAAATACAAAAATGCTACCATTATATTGCTCTACTGTGCAAAGATATTATCGTTTCTTTTTATAATACAAATTCAACCAAATGCTCTAAACGCACAAACGAAATATTTTCTCAAAATAATACACCTTATGCCCAAATAAGAAATCAAATCCCAACAGCTGAAACAACTGCAAAGAAAACAGATAAGAACTGAAAGTCCAAAGTCCTACAGAAATCCCCCAAACAGCAGAAACTGAGCGGTGATAAACAATATAACAAAAGTTTCTCCCACAGAAGAAGCAGAACCAGCAATCTAATGATGTACCAAACTACCTCACATGTAAAAATCATGATCTCATTTTGTATTATGGTTCATTACCATTATTATTTTTGTTACTTGTAAACAATTTGAAAGGTATTATGATTTTAAATGTGTTATTCTCTATACCCGACTGAAAATCAAATCTCGTCTTAAGACTCAGTGCAGTTAAAGAAGGACAGGAGTGCAGGGGAAATGGGACTGGCACAGGGCTTTAGTCCTATTAACAGAGCATCATGGTTATTCAAACCACCTCAGCTGTGTGACGACAGCCATCTCACTCATCAGGGCTGTCTGGATGATTAAAGGCTGACCTGCTAATAAAGATGAAGGATGTGTTGTACTCTCATCAGCATTGCTGTAAATCAGGCACACTCCTGCTGCTGTGGCATTATTGAGTTGGCACTGTGATAGACTAGTGAAGATGAACAGCTCAGGCTTCTGTGTTTCTGTCTCCGTTCTCCTGAGGCTGAAGCTGCTCTTTCTCTATGCTGTCGTCCTGGGGCGGCCGCACACGTTTAAAGAAGCCCAACTGAGGAGGAGAGAAATCAAGATGGAACCAGTCAATGATATTTGTATGCATAGTTCAATACCAAAACTTCCGTCATTGATACAAATACCAATGAAAATTAAGTAAACCACAAAAGAGACATAGATATTTTTTTACATTTTACATAAAATAAATAACTATTGAATAGGCCATGGAAATGCAAGTAATAGTCACTGATTAGAGGCTAAAAATATAAAAATAATATTTTTAATATTTATAAAATTAGCAACACTAATTCTGACATCCATAGTCCATCAAACTCTCAGTCAGTCTAAGTTATTTGACTAGTTTACAGCTGTTCACCTTATACATGACAAAGATGAGCAGAGCCAGGAGCAGAAGTCCGGCCAGGACAGCCAGAGCCACCACCCATCCTGGGACAGGCTGAGGGTTCTCTGAATTCCAGATCACCTTCAGAGAGGCCTGCAGGACAGAGATGTGTGATAGTGACACTGACATCATACAACCCCTCAGTCGTGATCAATGAAGACAGTAAAAAAAACACCATATATTCAGTGCACAAATGTGTTCTTTTTTTTTTTGGTTATGATTTTTTTTCTTTGCTTTAAAAAGTCTCATAAATAGTGGTTAACCATTTCACTCTTTCTAACCCAAGAAAATCCAAGAAAAAGATCAAAGTTATGTCCCCTTTACATTGATGATTATAGGAACTTACCGATGTTGTGCTGGCTGGGAGCTCAGAATACAGATTTTTATATGGCATCTCTATGACACTGAAGGATGCTGAGGAGCGAACATTGTACGATTTGTTTTGACTTTCAGCCTAAAAGGAAAGAAAACCACTGCTGTGTTTTAAATGTATTAGTATTTGTGCAGTGAAAACAGGATGTTAAAGATCCTGTTTAAAGGTCGTGAACGGCGTTTTGTTTTGTCTCCGCGTTCGTCACTAATCACACAACGGCAACGTCTTACGTCATCCACCGGAACAGCTTCCGCATACCACAGTCAGCGAAGTGAGAAAAAAAAGTGTTTATTACGTTTGAAATATGGATATTTATCTTACAAAAATGCATGGATTCGCTACAGGAGGCCTTTATTCACCCCCCGGAGCCGTGTGAGGGATGTTTCATTATGGATGCACGCACTTTATTTCACGTCTTCTGAACTGTTGACAACCAACACCCGCTTACCCCCATTGAAAGCCTTGGAGGGGCCAGGACAATTTTCAATATAACTCCGATTGGGTTCGTCTGAAAGAAGAAAGTCACATACACCTAGGATGCTTTGAGGGTGAGTAAAACACAGGCTAATTTTCATTTTTGGGTGAACTAACCCTTTAAGGCTTTGCAATGTCAGTCAAATGAATTGTTTTTACCTTGAGAAACGTGCTCACGGCGAGTCTGGAGTAAATAAATAGAATGGCACTCTGGCCTTTCTCCAGCCGGCCGACCCAACACTTAATCTCCTGACACTCCGCATTCCCACAATCCTGTGTGGATACACACAAACCATTGTACTTGCATTCATGCATACTGGTGTAAAGGACAGTTCAATGACTCATACTGACTGCACCTACTGATGTGTAGAAGGGTAAAACGGTTCCCATAAAAAAATGGTTTGATGGTTTGATAACCATAATAATAGTTCATATATTTTATATATACACACTACTGTTCAAAACTTGTGTTTGTGTTTCTCTCCTGAATTTCTGATTAAATAAATGTAGCCTTGGTGAGCATTAGAAATGTCTTTCAAAAATATCAAACAAAAATTCACTGAACAACTTTTGAACAGTGAAGTGTTTATATTTCAAATTCAATATAAAACTGTTCCAGGTACTTCACAGACAATGGTGGTTGTCAAATGGCAACTGTTAAAGCTGTGAACATACCAGAATCTCCAGGTTCTCTTCCTCTTGTTTGTCCTCTAGGTCTCTGCGGTGGACGCTGTGTCTGTTCCTCCCCTCGGCTCTGTCTCCGCTGGCAGAGGTCTCATTTTTGTCAATAAATCTGGGATTCTAGGTGAAAGCAAAAGCATAGGTTTATCCCTGGAATATTAGATGAGTTCCTAATTTCAACCAATTTGTGAACAAACAAAAAGTTTTTAACCATCCATGCAACTAATTTGTCTGTCCACACTGTAAAAAAAATCCCATTTGTTGGATGTTACAAAATGTCACAGCCAGTCAGAACATACAAGATATTTAACATACAGCTGTGTGTGGAGTGGGGTTTTGGGTCCTGTTTACACCTGTTATTAACAACGTATGTATACTTGATTGTGGGATACATACAGTGACATTAAGCGGGTTGAGCTCCCTGTTTGAGCTGCAATTCATGTTTCCGTCCACTTCAAACTTGGTGATGTAGAGCAGAGAGCCATTGTTGAATCTGTATGGCCACTGCACATCTAAAATGGCCTTACTGAAAGTACTGGGTCCTGTGTTCCTTAGCTAGTAAGATAAGTGATTACAGCAGAAAGAAAAAAAATAAAAAATCTAATTATGCACTGCTGAAGTTTAATAAATGTATAATGTCTTTGACCAATGATCTTTACTGCATTTTTTTACCTCATAGATGTGCTGTACAAGAGGTCCAATATCATCCTCCAGAACAGGATTCTCTTTTGGCTGCCAGTTAGCGATGGGTAAAAACACCTGCTCTGGCGCAGACACCCTACACAGGATAGAGCAGATGAATACACAGTGAAGATCATGTCTAGTAACAGCCAATTATAATGCTCAAGTTCTTTTTTTTCATCATTCAGGTTTTTATTGACATACTTAATCCATACTGGATCATTTTCACTTTCTTAATTCACATTCTTGGTCATATTGTGCAAGTCATTCTAAAAAAAGTTTGCCCTCTTAATCTAAATGTCATAACTTGTTGCAACTTAAAAGTAAAATGTGTTCTAAATGGTTCTAAATTTTAAATCCGTTTACATAATACATGTCACACAATTTTAACAGAAATATGATTTAAACGATCATACCCTCTTAATTTCACTTTGGCCAGCACAGCAAGCTTTGTGACAACAGAGACCAAATTGCTGGTATTGTTGAACTGATTTGAGCTGGAAGCAGAAGGGAATTATTCATTTCCAATAGGTGGTGCTGTTGTTTTAAAAACGGATACATTTCATCAAATTACAGACAATATGATAAAATATTACCATGGACCACTCTTTATGTTTCAGAAATGCACTACAAATCATTGTGGTAAAGACGGGCGAAGACACGAGGGTGTAAGGAAAGAGTGAGAGACAAAAAGCAAAGCAGGATGTTCTTACAGAGACAAAAAATAGTAGTTCCCTGTAATTAACAACACTCTAAAAAAAACCACTGGCAGTCAGCAGGAAACTGTAGCATTAGAAGCAAATGCTGTCTGAAGTTTTACTGATTTAAATAAAAAGACAGGAAGTGAAAAAATACGTTTAGGGCGTCTTTGCTTTACATTTGTTCTAATGGCCCTCCTTGGGCTACTGATGGCTCACCAAACTCCATTTAATTAACATTGCACAAGCAAATCTATCAACTATATTACTGTAATAGCAAGCATTAATTCAAATACCTCTGTATCTGCAAGCCAAACTTGACTTCTGTATCCTGTTCAGAGAGCTGGTGCACACTGAAGCGCAATCCTGCTATTATCTACACAAACAACGCCATTTTACAGAAAAATATGAAAGGAAATAGCTCATTTATGTTACAATAAGCAACATTTAAAAAATTAACTTCTGGTACAAATAAATATGCAGACACTTTAGTGAGGAAAGTCTGTTGGTCACCTTAGTTCCTCCTTTCATTGGGTTCCCAAGATCACAAACCACCACTCTGGTCTGA